CCTTAATGATTCTATGATTCTATGACCTATTCTGTGAGTCTCCTTTCATTCTTCCCTTGTGTTTTTTTTAATATCAAACCAATAAAATGAATATACCTTCACTTGTCTCGGGAGAAGTATATTTATGGTTGAAAACAAAAGGAGTGATTTCCAACATAATATGTGGTCTTAGCTTTAATCTGAAATTCAACCTGTAAGCTCTCTATTGTAAATATTTTATTTACAGGAAACTTTTTCTCCTGTAGGCTTACTACGATAAAAGCTAATAGATACAAACAAAGACCATAGCACATACAAATGTTTTCAGAGATTGTGCACATTCATCTGTTTCACAACTGTGCTATGTTTTTGCTTCATCACGCTTTTCTGTCAATCAAATATTTGAGAATTAATGTTCAGAAAAAGAAACTGGGTCTGTAATATAGCTCAATTGCTAAAATGTCCACTTCGATTTCAGAAGTGCAAGCATGTCCCCCATGGACATAAAGAAACAAATTGAACTCAGAAATACAGAAACAAATTTAGTCTTCTCTTCTTGAGCTGTTGCTACAGTTGTGCTTTGAGTTTTAATCTCTTTTGGTAACATACCTTCATAAGAGAAATACAGATAGACACTGAGATACAGATTGCCTTTCTATTTTTCAAGGAGAAAGGTTGATGTGATGCTTTGCCTTATCAAACCGTCTCTTAGCTTGAAAAACTTCAGCATGTATCTGCTTATATCAAATCTTAAGCTTTGGCATAGTTTTACAGAAAAAATTGCAGTTAAGTGACTCCAGAAATCACTGCATGCCAATCTGTCTGGGTTTAGACTTAGTTTCTAAGATTGCATAGGTGGTATCTTCTCAGATTAAATTGGTGTCTTTGCATCTCTTCAGAAAGTTGAGATTGTAGACTGCAGATGTCTCCTTGTTAAGGGCGGTTTGGCACTGGAAGCATCCTCCATCAGTGCTTCATAATCTGCACAGGCAGTCAACGAATTGTCAAAAGGATTTGAAATATTATTCTCAATCTATGCGAGACATGACTTTTTCTTTTTTTTTTTTTTTTTTAATCTTGGCACTTTGAGAAACTTTCTGTCTCCACCATAAAAAGCTTCAGTGGTTATAATGTACGAAAGATGTCAGCCCAGAGCTCCATATTCTCTGCTTTCATGCAGGAGACATGCAGTTCTCCATGAAGTGTCTTGTACAGGGTTGTCTTCTTCCAAAACCTTCATGTGTTAACATCAAAGGCACACTGCAAAGGTTACTGGTCTTTGATGAGAAGACAAGGGAAAAGCACTAGGAATATATAAAGCAGATGTTTCTGAATATTGGAGGTAATACAAAAAAAGATAAATTCCACAAAACTTAGACACAGACACACACCCCTCCTAGACAGATATACATGTGCACACATATATCTAAACACACATATAGGCATTATTAAGCATTTTTATATTCATATTTACATGTAGAGCTTTAGGTTATATATTTACATATAACGATAACTGTTTCCTTGTGGTGAAGTCCTTAAAATAGGACTACTGTAAAGGTTGGGCAATTTCTGTATTGCTGAACCTGATGATACCCCTTTAAGGAAGTACTCAGTGAGTTTAAGAATGAAATTAATTCTTTAGCATGCTTAACAGCAGGTAAAGTTACCGAAGCCTATTTTATAATTTAGTATGTAACGTACACTTCCTACGCTTTTTTCTAGAAAAGGGTTTCTAACTATGGAGCAGAAATGGCAGTGCCCTAAGTCTGTGTTTTTAAATGCATCTTTCATGTTCTTCCCTTTCTTCTGCTTCCAGCTCCAGAAAAAGTCCGTGCAACAGTTCGGTGCCAAATGACACGAAGAAGCCAGCAGACCTGATCGGTCAGGAAGTGATTTTGGTTTCCTTCCTTCTGCTTCTCCTGGTCTGGTTTCTGAATCGGGAGTTTGAGGTCAGTTACCGCCTCCACTACCATGGAGATGTGGAGGCTGATCTTCATCGCACCAAAATTCAGAGCATGAGGGATCAAGCTGACTGGTTGCTGAGGAATATTATTCCGTACCACGTGGCTGAGCAGTTGAAAGTTTCCCAGAGCTATTCCAAGAACCACGACAGCGGCGGAGTAATCTTTGCAAGTATTGTGAACTTCAGCGAGTTCTATGAGGAGAACTACGAAGGAGGCAAAGAGTGCTACAGAGTCCTGAATGAATTGATTGGGGATTTTGATGAGCTGCTAAGCAAACCGCATTACAGCAGCATTGAGAAAATCAAAACGATTGGGGCAACCTACATGGCCGCTTCAGGACTGAACACCTCACAGTGTCAGGACAACAACCATCCCCATGGACATCTGCAGACCCTTTTTGAATTTGCCAAAGAAATGATGCGAGTGGTGGATGACTTCAACAATAACATGCTGTGGTTTAATTTTAAACTGAGGATTGGCTTTAACCACGGCCCCCTCACTGCTGGGGTCATTGGCACCACCAAGTTGTTGTATGACATTTGGGGTGACACTGTGAACATTGCTAGCAGAATGGACACCACTGGCGTCGAGTGTCGTATACAGGTGAGTGAGGAGAGCTACCGCATCCTAAACAAGATGGGGTATGACTTTGACTATAGGGGGACAGTCAATGTGAAGGGGAAAGGTCAGATGAAGACCTACCTTTACCCAAAATGCATGGACAATGGGATTGTGCCACATCACCAGTTGTCTATATCTCCAGACATTCGGGTTCAAGTGGATGGCAGCATTGGGCGATCTCCGACGGATGAGATTGCCAACCTGGTGCCTTCTGTACAGAATTCTGATAAGATAGCCCATGGCACAGATAACTCAGAAACCAAGGACATCCTTCCTTCCACCAAGAAGCTCCAGAAAGATGCGGTGAGAGCAGAGGAGAGGTGCAGGTTTGGCAAAGCCGCAGAGAAGACTGACTGTGAGGAAGCGGGAACTGAGGAGGTCAATGAACTGACAAAGCTAAATATCTCTAAGAGTGTATGATGCACTGTCAGAGTTGCATGAAGTGCTCTGTCAATAGAAACACAAAGACATTTGCAATTGGCAGTTTTCTTTTTCAAGAGAGACCTTCTCAACACCTGGGTTGTACGTTTGTTTTCATTTCAGCGCCTGATGCTGTGTGGATCACAGCTCTTCAGGGCTTGTTTTCATCCATCTCTCTCCTCCATGCCCCAAATCACATCCCAAGCTCCCCAGCTCCCCGTGCAACCATCTTACAGCTGAGTAGAGGATATTAAGTGCCTTCAGATATACTCCATTGGACTCCCTGTCAAGGTACAGAGGCCCCAAGTGAAATCATAGCTTTGGGTATTTATCTAATTTTAAAGAAAAGAAAAGCTGTGGTTATATCATTTTTATTGTTGTTTCTCACAAAACACTTTTTTTGGCTAATGCAACTCCTTGGGTTTTTTATATCTCTCTGAACAATGTTTTACTGTTATCAGACCTTTTGTATGTAAACACACAGACAAATGTGCATGTATCTACCATATGAGACTGACATAAAGTGCCAGTAACGTACCACAAAAGAATGTCTTGGCGAGGGGGTGACGCAATTTGACTTCGTGTTGGGCTGGAGGAGGAGTTCTGCAGTGGCTCAACATTTAGTTAGAGTAGGCTGAACAACTGCTGTAGTTTTATTCTCCTTTACCAATGCTTTCTTCAACCTTAATGTGCCATTGTGTGCTTTGGATACACTTCTTTTCCATATAGCCAATGAGTTACTGATATGTGGGAATGGAATAAGGGTTCGGACTTCACCAGCTCTCAGGACAGGTTTCCAGAAGCAGACGAGTGACCACGAGAGTGTTACAATTCAGGTCTTACGAGTCTAAAGCAGTTTCATGTTACTCCGTACCCTAGCTGAATTTGCGAAGGTAGGTGAAGTTGGTATCTCTAAGCTGGTCTGATTTGAGAGAGAGAGAAACGCGAAATAAATGTTTTGGGAATGCCTTTATTTATTTATTTATTTTATTCCTGTTTTTATTTTGTTTGGGGGTTTTTGTGTGCGTGTGCGGAAGGGATCAGGAGAGATGAATTGTTAATTGGTTTAATAAGAGTAATAAGATGGTGTTCCAGCCTCTTTGAACTACCAACCACTGTGAGGATGTTACCTAGGCAATATTTGTTTCAAAGCTGGTGAAACTTCCGAAGCCACCAAATGCAATTGAGTATCCCAGCTTCCCTCTGTACTGAATCAATGGTGCTGCACAATATTTTTCAGGATTTCCCCCTCCCCTACACTGTGCATTTGCAGCAGGGAATAGAACAGCATGCTCCCTGCGCGCCACTGAAAGCAGGAATACGGAAAAATGTCCTTTCTAGCGAGCTGAGAAGCACAATAATTTCCCAGTCCTGCAGGTGACTCGGTGCAGGTCCCTGGGACTGGAGACCTGCAGGAGTACGGGAACCTGCTTGCACAGAGGGAACTGCAGGACGGGGGCCTTAGACTGTACCAGTTTGCCCTCTGCATGCTTCCATCACCTCCTTCACTAACATTTGATGCCCCGCTTTGGATAATATTAATTATTCAACTATTCCAGTTCAGCTAAATTCTTGCGACACCAAATAAAATGAAATAATTTTTATGCCCAAAATAAGTTGGTTAACCAGGGAAGAGCTGGTGAAATGCAATGCTGTGCTGTCTGCCTATTGGTGTGGGTTTTAATTCTTACTTTCCATCTGAACTAAAGTCAGAATATATCGATACTTCTTTTTATTCCTTATGTGATTTTTGGAGTTTGAGTAATAAATATATACGTTGTGAAGTTCCTATTCAGCTATTTGAGATCCATCTACACTCCACGGTCAGCACGGAGCCCCTGAAGCCTTTGTCAAATGCAAATGTGTGTGATTTCTGGATCTCGGTTAGTTAAACAAGGCTCTGCACACTGTTCTCACAAAAGCTGCTGTTTATGCACGTCTAAATTGTGTTTGATCGGAAAGCTATTTAAAATTAATCTTATTTGCTCAATCTGCCAGCACACAAAAAAAATAGGGGATACTCATCCCCAGACCCTTCTGCCACAGATGCTGTAGCCTGTTTGGGGGCTATTCCTGACAAGCAACAATATAAAGTTTTTATTAGTGCACAGTTTTACAGCAGCCTTCCTTCTCCATAGATTAAAACTCGTCCCCTTCTGCCCCCCTCCCCGTAGTGGGTTGCACTTCCAACTTTCAGGTAGTTTAACTCTGCAAATACCTCTTGTATCTGAAGAATGTATTCTTGAAACTATTGTTAGGGTTCTCGTTTCAGTTAAGCGTGTGTCAGTATTTCTTTTCTTACAGTAGGGGAGTTAACGTATCCAGAATTGTTTACATGCCTTCTAGTGTTATATTAGTGTCTCAAAGTCGTTCCAACCTTTCTCCCTTTCACTTCTTTTTCCCAATTTTATAGACAACTCTACCCAGCATTTCTCTCATTGATCAGCTGTTTGCAATGGCAGAGTTCAGTTGAGACGCGCCGGCTTCTCTCTCGCGTGAGACACTGCACAATAACTAAACCTCCACCAGCAACAGCCTTGCATCCAGTGAGAGGTTTGCACCCTGTGATTAAACCTGAAAGGAGAAGGTGCTGGCGTAGGGCCCCGGACCCAGAGCGCCTTCCTTCTCGTTGTTCAAGCAATGCACTGCAGAATACAAAAGCCTCATCCTCCAGCATATAAAGTAAATAACGCTCCCATCTGTCGGGTGCTGCGGGAGTATTGTTGGTTTTCTGGTAACATGAGAATACCAAAAAAAATACCAGGGCCTATTTTTTGTTGGCACTAAGCAAATAAAATGACTGAGGGCAGAAGTATTAGTGGACTCTGAAATCAAGGGCTGTTGTCTGCTCTGGGAACTGCCGGCGATGTTACTCTGCCTTAACTCGGAAGCTGGGAAAACAGTCATGAAAGTTGAGTAACTAGTGGTACCCCTGTTTGCTTATTGCCACCAGGACAGCAGCAAGCATTCAATAGCTGAGACTGCAGGTCTTCTTTCGGAGGTTTTAAATCTTCTCTTTAATGCAGTGTAGTAACGAAATCAAGAAGCTAAGCTCTCAGCGTACGGTTTGGGTAGTGAGATTTTCCCAGGCACAAGGAGCAAGGAGATACCTATTTTCTGTTGTAAAACAGTGGGAGCTGAACCTTCACACCTTCCCTTTACGCCTTTGAAAAGATGTCCCAATACTTGCAAAAATTACTCTGGAGGCGTTTTTAATGGCATTGTGCAGTTCTGTGTTCCTCTCTGCAGCCGTGACACGTGTGCGCTTGCAGGAGGCCTTGATCAAAGTTCATTTCGTTAAAATATCTTTTGTGCTTGTTCTGTTAGTGCCAGCACAATTCGAACACGGTGTAAAAGTTGAGGAGTTGGCCAGGTACCTGGAAGTGTCTTCTGCAGGAATAGTCGGTGCATTGCTGCACTTCCTATTTTTAGGGTGTTTTAATGGTGATAATTTAAAAATTATCCAGAGGAGGGGAAGGGAGGGAAGATCGCTGAATATTTGCGAGCTCCATGTTGCCTTCTGCCACGGTTCACTTGCGGGGGAGCTGCTCTAGAGCGTAGAGTAATGAAGAATATGCTGAATATTTTCTGCAGTGTCTTCTTAATCTGCTGCTAACACACAAAAATGCTTAGAATTCACATTCAAAAACAAGTAAATGGCATTCCCATTGATTTATTTCTGGCATTTATGATTTTGAGAAGAACAGATTTGCCTGTTATTTCGCAGGATTTGGGGCTGTTCCCCTTTGCCGGAGGTAACGTGAGCGCTGCAAGCAGGGCGGCACGGTGCCGCTGCCTGACCGTGGCTCCTGCTGTGGCCTAACGCAAACCGCAGGAGGATTTTGACATGACAAAAAGGGGGGAGAGGATGGACTCCCCAAGGGCTTTGCAAAAAAAAAAAAAGTATTTGGATACTCTTACTGCGGGGCTAAAACACAGAAAGGAGGCGCCCGGAGCAAAAATGAAAGGAGCTATAAACCAAACACTGTACCCATACTAGCTTTTAGGTAGAGAAGAGCTTATTCTTGATTAAAGAGCCAAGCTTTTAGGGTATCTAGCATGTTAAAATCGCTAACGCTAACCTGTTTCTAAAACTTTAATCCTGAATACAACAAAAAAAAATATTGCAAGGGAGCAGTTATTAACTTCATGTCTTTGTTTTGCTACATCACAAGAGGCTGAGAGCGCCTGAGGTTGGTTATAATGTGATCAGCTATTTAACTGTGCAGCTTGGGGTGGGTTTTTTTGCCAAATTTAAAGACTGTGTCTGTTTTCTCCTTTCTTCCCTGCTGTGATCTTGTTTACTCGGTCTGGACAGGACGTGCAAGTGGTTCTCGCCTCCCTGCTCCTCACCTTTGCTAAACTGCGTCTTCCGCACTGCACAGCAGCGTTTGAACTCTGCTGCTGCCAGGTCATTCATGGCTTCGGATGCTGCTTTCACTGCTGTTTGCCCCTCTCTCTATTTCCTAATACAAAGGGGAAGAGTACGGTTGATTTGATATCTTGGTCCATTTGTGCAGTCACAGCTGCAGCTTTCTCCTTGTATTGTTAAGCTGCTTGACAGAAGATACAGAAGAGCAGCAGGCACATCCCAGTAGTTAAATTTAAGAATTCTGTGAAAAAAATGTATTTTTCATTACACCAAAAGTGGAAAAGAAGTTTTATTACCCTGAGTTTTAGCAAGCGTGCAAAAGCAGAAGAGGGTAAGAAATAAAATCCCAGTATTTGCTGTCAGTGTTGGGATTCGCTGAAGCAGCATTCCTTTAAGTCCTGTTTTAGTTAAATATTACAAAACTGCTAAAAATGCAGCAATTATTTATTGATGTGTCTTTCCCAATTGCTGAAGATGTCGCAGGGGTGGTTTGACTGTAAATACAGAATGATTTTCACGTGGAAAGAGAAACAGTCGAGGTAGAGGTGCAGGGATCCCCCAGTGCCGCGGGGCTTCCATCTCGATGCCCAGCAGCTGCAAAAACCCGGTCAGCGTCTGAGAGTAATCCTGACACTTCGCCAGATGTATGTGGGACATCAGTTTGGGCAGGAAAGTCATTCCAGCG